AAGTCAAAGGCAGGGAACAAAAGAACAAAACTAGGGCGGTTAAGCAATATCCCCAAAAAAATATCATGCAAAGCGAGCCTCACAAAACAGACATGGAACAAATTGAGAAAATTCTTGCGTGGTTGCCAACCTGATCCTAAGAAAGGAATTTTTCCTCAAACCACCTCGATCAAAAATATAACATTACATCACTAAATAAAGCTGTTAGGAATCAATATCCACCACTGATAACCTACCGAGTAAGAAAGGGAGAGTTGCAACCAGCACTAGAAGGCCTGTAGTTATAGCAGCTACCAGAAGAATGAAGAAGAGCCTCCTCCTTCTTTGCTTCTCTTCTTCCTTGTCACAAGCTGAAACCTCAAAGTCATCAGGCAACAGATCCTGTTGAGAATCACTTTTGGTGAATGCATCCTGGGAAATCAAAAGGTTATGGACACATTTTAAAACACAGGTGATAATAAATTGAGTTCATATTAGCCTACAGTACAGGTGTTATTTTGGAACAGAACACTCAAAAAAGGTTTTCAATGCTGCCATCTTGGATTGTAATTGGATGTTTGACTGTTTAAGAGGGTTGGTGCAGAGGGCCAGGGGGGGAGGGGAAGGGGGTGAGACACCTGAAATAACCTTTTCCCTTCCCTATTTGACCATAGACTGGAGGAGGGGGGGGGACAAGAAAGTAAAATTGGCAATCTCCCAGATTTCAGTTTTTTTAGGTTGGCATCTCTGGGGTTCGAGTGAAACCTGAAAAAACATTCCAGAAACCCTATGTGACCTCAACCATTCACTCCCCTAAATCTAATATAATTTCCATGCTGCTAATTAGCTTGCATAAACATAAACATGCATACAATCCAGCACGTATAGAGGATTACATGGAAATCAACAAAAAAAACTAAATAAAGAACAAATTATTTTACTATGAATGTACTATAACCAGGGATAAGATGATAATTGGATACCTTTAAAGATCAGGCCCGGTTGTCTGAAGGCTGGATAGCGCTATCCACCAGATAAATCGCTATCCAGCACTGGAGAGTGATTTATCCGGTGGATAGCATTGTCCACCTTTTGAACCCAGGCCAGATGCACTTTTAGTTCTCTCAAATTACTCTCCCACAGCTTAAAACCTCAACAATTATCAATTATCAAGCCTCCCCTTTTAAGTGAGAAAAGTTTATAATGGCACTCAGCTAAACATAGAACAACCTTAAACATGTATACTTCAAATATAAATCCTTGTGGTCATAATGCAAGTACTGGTAAATGCAGTGAGAAATGTTTGCAAATTACCCATTAACTTATTAAAACTTCTTGCCTCATTTAGAACTTAATGCACTGTTAGTTATAATAGAGCCAAAGCTAGGAATTCAAAATTTCTATGCCACCTATGGTATTCCCCACAGATATTCCCAGGTGGTATAAATTGCGTTAATTGTCACACATCTTTAAGGTACTAACAGCTAGAGGTAATACTCAGATTACAGTCAAACCAAGTGAGGTGTACCCCTCAAGATTACATTTAATAAATTGATTATTTGAAAATTGAGCCCACTAGTTGTTTCAAGAATGCAATAATGAATTGATTTTTTGAATATTGAACCCATTAGCCGTATTCTTAAAATGACTAGCAGGTTCAATATATTCGATTTATCAATTCATTATTGCATTATTTGAAATGACCAGCAGGTTCCGTATTCAAATAATCAATTCATTAATGCAATCTTGAGAGGTACACTTCACTCGGTTTGACTGAAAAAGTTAGTTTATACATTAGAATAATAATTAGCTAGTACAAGAAACCATATTGTAAACTAATTAAATTTTTGTTATGCAAGACACAAGCTCTTTCATTATGAGTGTAAACAAGCTTGAAAACCTGACACTTAATTGATCAAAAGTAATTACTTCTCTCAGAAGTAATTTCGTCACTCCAAAGATTAAACAAAGTTGCCGACTGTGTTGGCTGTGATTGAAGTCAACAGTGGCAATTTGTTGTAAGAGGATATAGAGATTCTAGGAATCTACAGGAATAACATTCTCTGGAACTATTAGATAAAATAATAACTAATTGTTTTGCCAAATTTTCCTGGAATAAAAGGAAGGCACTAAGTAAAATGGCACCAGTGTATCAAAAAGCCTGTTTTGTACTTTGCTAGGAATTTTTGCTTTTGTATGTTTTGTTTTGATTTGGTTTTTTTTTTTTGTTTTTCCATTTTAAAAAAAAGTTGAATACTTATTTGCTAGGTTCAGGTAAAATAGAACGAGTTAAAACATTTTTGCATCTTTAGTGGCAGAGGTTTCAAAACATCACGAAACTTCATTAAAGTATTTAAGGCCTGACTTCTCCCAGTTTCAACGAATTCACTTAATTTGTACATTTCACACTGTGAACTTTGCAAGCCTCTCTAAATTAGTTAAATCAAAGATTATCCTTATACCTTCATGACCACCAGATCTGATCTTGCTATTGAAATTATGGGGCAGCTTCCAGCATGATCTCATTTATATATGAGCACATGAATGATGAACTTTGAAAAAAGTGGGAGTCAGATCGTGTGCAATTTGTGTGAAATCAACTAACTAAAGGAGTCCACTTAATCCAGAGTTTGGTCACGAACTTTATAATATGTTGAAGAGTATTTGTGGGGTGATCAGCAAATTAGCGTTTTTCATGCTAGAAGTGCTTAGCTAGTGTCTTTTGTTTCTCTTAGACTTGTCTCCTTCATCTTGTACTTTCTAAAAATTAAATGAATATTTATTACGTAAGCTTACTTATTACTCCTTGACAATGTGTTAATCAAATTAGCACGCAACTTTCTTCTCTGCTAACTAAGCTTAATTAGCAGGCTTGTAATAATGAGATAATTACCCCTCTTGTAGAAACCACTGCAGGCACGATATCCAGTTCTACTTGCACAGCTCTCTGACTTGCAACCGAAGCCACGCTGACCTTATTTCTCCTGAACTTTTCTCCTGAGCTACTCCTTGGTTTAGGCTCCATGGATTGGCGATCGATGGGATCCGAACAATTCCAGTCGAGTCTTTCTTTGCCTTGTACGTTGATGATTTCGTGGAGCTGAAGCGTTCAGGTGCGTATACCCAATCAGTTCAGGTCAGTTCCGACTGACTGTTTAATTTGTGTGCACCTCTAGGTCTCTGATTATCAAAATGATCGCAAACAAAACTGTGGTACCCTGCATTTTAATACGTCGTATAATTAAGCCCGCTGATCTCCTGTGTCATTAGCTGCCAAGGCGGTATTTTGTTCTGTCAGCTGATGACACACGCACGTTCACTCGCTCCTTGTTAAATGAATTCCTCCAGAAATCAGTTGACACAGATGCTTTTTCCATCACAGACACAAGCTGATCTTCTTTCCTGAGTCTTCTTACTTGAATTACAAGTCATTTTGATTACATTAATAACATATAACCCGGAAAAACCATAATTAATTGCAAAGCACCGAAGCTTACTCGCTCGCCAAGAAAGCGACGAGTGGTCGACGAGGTCTGACTATTTTGAGTCTTTTCTTTCCTTTGTGCTCTCAACATTAAACGTAGTTTCGTTGTGCTATTTTTGCAAAATGTCTCGAGACTCTCACAACTAGTCTACATCCTGCCAGCGAATAAACAAACCTGAGGAAATAACGCCAAAAACATGTGAAAGCATGCTCTCTAGATATGTCATCAGTAGTTAGTTAGTGTAGTCACGCATGTTTCTTTCGAGGTCAACCTGCCGTGGACCCCAGAGGTCGCATGCACAGGAAGCGCCACCGGGCAAATAATTCCAGGAACTCTTTCCTGGGATATGGGGGTGCTGTTTGAATGAAACTGATTTCTATCTCGGGGAATTTGAAACCCTTCTCAAATGTTTACGCAAATGAAAGCCAGGCCATGTGTATTACTGAGGCCCCGTCCACACTGCCCCGGGCTCACTACCCTGGGCACACTACGCCGGACATAGGGAAGTTGAAAACGAAGGTTTCACTCTGACTGACGCATCAAATGTTTTCCGTCCACACTACACCGGAGGAATTTAAAAACAGTAACAATAATAACCAGTCATATTGGATTTGTTTTGAAAAAAACCTCATGATTATCTTGAGGTCGTCGCTTTCAAGAAGCTCCGTTTTCAAAATGTTTTCTGTCCACACGAGAGTGAAAAGCCAGCGTTTTCAAATTCCTCCGGTTTGAAGAGCGTTTTCGAAAAGCTCCGTTTTCGTGACGGATTAGTGTGGACGGTAGACCTAACCGTAGAATTAAAGCTACGCTTTCAAATTCCTCTAGTGTAGTGTGGGCGGCACCTTGAGGAGGTCTGATATCAATTTTTGGGTCAGCTCTGATAAAGGAAATCGAAATCACATTCTGTAAGAGTTTCACGGAACAGGCTGCACAACACAACCAAAATTTTCAGGAAGCACAGTTTTCGCACTAAATAGTTGACACGCAAAATCGTTTAAAACAATGTAAAACACATTTCCTTTATACTTTCTCCTTTTTTAGAATCCCATTTCTTTAACGCGTCAGAAGGAGTATGATGTCAAACTTCGGCCATATAATACTTATATTCCGCCGTTCAACCTTTGGGGTTCAACCTTTCTCGAAGATATTAATTAGCAATTTTGTTATTTTAAATTCGAGGTGAAATAAAGGTTATTGTATTCTATTTGTATTGTACTTATATTCCGCCATCTTAAAACAGAGCTCAACCTTTGAGGTCTAATAACGTTGAATGTAGAACCTTGCTTGTTTTCGGCTGAATACCAAGACAGACTACTGTCACCAAAAACTTAATACCTTCCAATTATACGGGACAAAAGAAGTGTAAAGTCAAACTTCGGCCATGAGGTAATACTTATATTCCGCCAGCTCGAAACGGAGCTCACCCTTTAGGATCTAATAACTTTGAATGTAGAACCTTGCTGGTTTTTGGCTGAATATCAAGACAGACTACTGTCGCCATAAACTTAATCTCTCCTAATTAGAATCCCATTTCTTTGACGCGTCAGAAGGAGTATGATGTCAAACTTCGGCCATGTAATACTTGCATTCCGCCATCTTGAAAGGAAGTTCAATCTTTGGGGTCTATTAAATTTCAAACTAGGACTGTGCCAGTTTTCGTCTGAATACAAGGCCATTCTACTGTTCCCTGGAACCTCATCTGTCTACATAAGAATCCTATTTCTTTGTCGGGTGAAAAAGAGGATGATGTCAAATATTGGTCATTTAATGTAATGTGGTCGCCATCCTTACTAAAACTGAGTAACCTTAACCGGATGTAAGAATTTTTTTTTTTTTGAGCTCGTTAGTTTTGTACATCAATTTCAAAATATATAACTGACATGTAAAAGTTCATCTCTCTCTATGAGAATCCAATCTGTTTGATGGGTCAAAAGGAGTATGATGTCAAACTGTGGACATGTGTTACCTATATCTCGCCATCTTGAAACGGAGTTTAACCTTTGGGGTCTAATAACGTTGAATGTAGGACCGTGCTAGTTTTCGTCTAAATATCAGGATATTGTTCTTTTGCCTGGAACCTCATCTCTCTACCTAAGAATCATGTCTCTTTGACGAGTGGGAAAGAGGAGTATGATGTCAGATGTGTTACTTATATTCCGCCATCTTGAAAAGGAGCTCAACCTTTGAGGTCTAATAACGTTGAATGTAGAACCTTGCTGATTTTGGGCGGAATACCAAGACAGACTACTGTCGCCAAAAACTCAATATCTTCCAGTTACAATCCCATCTCTTCGGCGGGTCAAAAGGAGTGTGAAGTCAAACTTCGGCCGTGAGGTAATACTTATATTCCGCCAGCTTGAAACGGAGCTCACTCTTTGGGGTCTAATAACTTTGAATGTAGTACCTTGCTGGCTTTTGGCTGAATACCAAGAGAAACTACTGTCGCCATAAACTTCATCTCTCCTAACTAGAATCCCATTTCTTTGACGCGTCAGAAGGAGTATGATGTCAAACTTCGGCCATGTAATACTTATATTCCGCCATCTTGAAAGGAAGTTCAATCTTTGGGGTCTATTAAATTTCAAACTAGGACTGTGCCAGTTTTCGTCTGAATACAAGGCCATTCTACTGTTCCCTGGAACCTCATCTGTCTACATAAGAATCCTATTTCTTTGTCGGGTGAAAAAGAGGATGATGTCAAATATTGGTCATTTAATGTAATGTGGTCGCCATCCTTACTAAAACTGAGTAACCTTAACCGGATGTAAGAATTTTTTTTTTTTTGAGCTCGTTAGTTTTGTACATCAATTTCAAAATATATAACTGACATGTAAAAGTTCATCTCTCTCTATGAGAATCCAATCTGTTTGATGGGTCAAAAGGAGTATGATGTCAAACTGTGGACATGTGTTACCTATATCTCGCCATCTTGAAACGGAGTTTAACCTTTGGGGTCTAATAACGTTGAATGTAGGACCGTGCTAGTTTTCGTCTAAATATCAGGATATTGTTCTTTTGCCTGGAACCTCATCTCTCTACCTAAGAATCATGTCTCTTTGACGAGTGGGAAAGAGGAGTATGATGTCAGATGTGTTACTTATATTCCGCCATCTTGAAAAGGAGCTCAACCTTTGAGGTCTAATAACGTTGAATGTAGAACCTTGCTGATTTTGGGCGGAATACCAAGACAGACTACTGTCGCCAAAAACTCAATATCTTCCAGTTACAATCCCATCTCTTCGGCGGGTCAAAAGGAGTGTGAAGTCAAACTTCGGCCGTGAGGTAATACTTATATTCCGCCAGCTTGAAACGGAGCTCACTCTTTGGGGTCTAATAACTTTGAATGTAGTACCTTGCTGGCTTTTGGCTGAATACCAAGAGAAACTACTGTCGCCATAAACTTCATCTCTCCTAACTAGAATCCCATTTCTTTGACGCGTCAGAAGGAGTATGATGTCAAACTTCGGCCATGTAATACTTATATTCCGCCATCTTGAAAGGAAGTTCAATCTTTGGGGTCTATTAAATTTCAAACTAGGACTGTGCCAGTTTTCGTCTGAATACAAGGCCATTCTACTGTTCCCTGGAACCTCATCTGTCTACATAAGAATCCTATTTCTTTGTCGGGTGAAAAAGAGGATGATGTCAAATATTGGTCATTTAATGTAATGTGGTCGCCATCCTTACTAAAACTGAGTAACCTTAACCGGATGTAAGAATTTTTTTTTTTTTGAGCTCGTTAGTTTTGTACATCAATTTCAAAATATATAACTGACATGTAAAAGTTCATCTCTCTCTATGAGAATCCAATCTGTTTGATGGGTCAAAAGGAGTATGATGTCAAACTGTGGACATGTGTTACCTATATCTCGCCATCTTGAAACGGAGTTTAACCTTTGGGGTCTAATAACGTTGAATGTAGGACCGTGCTAGTTTTCGTCTAAATATCAGGATATTGTTCTTTTGCCTGGAACCTCATCTCTCTACCTAAGAATCATGTCTCTTTGACGAGTGGGAAAGAGGAGTATGATGTCAGATGTGTTACTTATATTCCGCCATCTTGAAAAGGAGCTCAACCTTTGAGGTCTAATAACGTTGAATGTAGAACCTTGCTGATTTTGGGCGGAATACCAAGACAGACTACTGTCGCCAAAAACTCAATATCTTCCAGTTACAATCCCATCTCTTCGGCGGGTCAAAAGGAGTGTGAAGTCAAACTTCGGCCGTGAGGTAATACTTATATTCCGCCAGCTTGAAACGGAGCTCACTCTTTGGGGTCTAATAACTTTGAATGTAGTACCTTGCTGGCTTTTGGCTGAATACCAAGAGAAACTACTGTCGCCATAAACTTCATCTCTCCTAACTAGAATCCCATTTCTTTGACGCGTCAGAAGGAGTATGATGTCAAACTTCGGCCATGTAATACTTATATTCCGCCATCTTGAAAGGAAGTTCAATCTTTGGGGTCTATTAAATTTCAAACTAGGACTGTGCCAGTTTTCGTCTGAATACAAGGCCATTCTACTGTTCCCTGGAACCTCATCTGTCTACATAAGAATCCTATTTCTTTGTCGGGTGAAAAAGAGGATGATGTCAAATATTGGTCATTTAATGTAATGTGGTCGCCATCCTTACTAAAACTGAGTAACCTTAACCGGATGTAAGAATTTTTTTTTTTTTGAGCTCGTTAGTTTTGTACATCAATTTCAAAATATATAACTGACATGTAAAAGTTCATCTCTCTCTATGAGAATCCAATCTGTTTGATGGGTCAAAAGGAGTATGATGTCAAACTGTGGACATGTGTTACCTATATCTCGCCATCTTGAAACGGAGTTTAACCTTTGGGGTCTAATAACGTTGAATGTAGGACCGTGCTAGTTTTCGTCTAAATATCAGGATATTGTTCTTTTGCCTGGAACCTCATCTCTCTACCTAAGAATCATGTCTCTTTGACGAGTGGGAAAGAGGAGTATGATGTCAGATGTGTTACTTATATTCCGCCATCTTGAAAAGGAGCTCAACCTTTGAGGTCTAATAACGTTGAATGTAGAACCTTGCTGATTTTGGGCGGAATACCAAGACAGACTACTGTCGCCAAAAACTCAATATCTTCCAGTTACAATCCCATCTCTTCGGCGGGTCAAAAGGAGTGTGAAGTCAAACTTCGGCCGTGAGGTAATACTTATATTCCGCCAGCTTGAAACGGAGCTCACTCTTTGGGGTCTAATAACTTTGAATGTAGTACCTTGCTGGCTTTTGGCTGAATACCAAGAGAAACTACTGTCGCCATAAACTTCATCTCTCCTAACTAGAATCCCATATCTTTGACGCGTCAGAAGGAGTATGATGTCAAACTTCGGCCATGTAATACTTATATTCCGCCATCTTGCAAAGAAGTTTAACCTTTGGGGTCTAATAAATTTCAAACTAGGACTGTGCAATTTTTCATCCGAATACCAGGCCATTCTACTGTTGCCTGGAACCTCATATCTGCACCTAAGAATCCTATATCTTCGACGGCTGGGAAAGAGGAGTATGATGTCAAAC